TCCAAATCCGACGGCACATTAGCAACAACATCGCAGGAGAAAGCAAATATTTTTGCAGAGATGTTATCAGCAAACTCTACTTTAGATTCCCAAGGAAAACTGCCGCCAGACATTCCACCCGTTGAGAGTCGAATGCCCGAAATCGTCTTCCGTCAACGCACTATCAGACGAATTTTGCTTGGTCTCAAAACGAATAAGGCTAACGGTACTGATGGAATTCCACCCATTATCCTCAAAAAATGTGCACCAGAATTAACACCGATTCTCTGCAAGTTGTTTACCATCTCGTACAGGTCGGGTATTTTTCCATCATGCTGGAAAAAGATAGCTAGAGTCCAACTAATCCCCAGAAAAGGGAACAAGAACCTGCCCAACAACTACAGGCCCATTGCCCTGTTATCAGTAATCTCCAAAGTGATGGAGAAAGCCATCAATATTGAGCTTATCAAATATCTGGAGAGCTCAGGAATCATCAATGATAGACAATAAGGCTTTCGCCACGAAAGATCTACTGGAGATCTACTTGCCTACGTCACCCATTTATGGTAATCTTCAATAGAAAAACGCGGGGAATCTCCAGCTGTCGCGTTGGACATATCGAAAGCATTCGACCGTGTTTGGCACGAAGGACTCCTCCACAAACAACCATCATACGGCTTACCACCTCAGCTATGCCATCTCTTATCGAGTTTTCTTTCAAGCAGATCGCTTCACGTGGTGGTGGACGGTGTATCGTCTGATACCATTGGCATCAATTCCGGCGTTCCACAAGGATCAATTTTGGCACCAACATTATTCCTGCTTCATATCAATGATCTGTTGGGAGTAACAACTTGCCCCATCCACAGCTTTGCAGATGATAGTACCCTCCATACTGCTTTCTCTTCCAGAATTCCCATTTCTTCCCAGGAAACTAAGACCTCACGGCGCAGGCAGGTCAATGCTGTCAATGAAGATCTTGCTGAAATCACAGCCTGGGGAACAAACAACCTAGTTGAATTCAACGCCACCAAAACTCAAGCCTGCATTTTCATTAGAAAGGCGGAACTCAGTATGCCCGATATTGTAATGTCTGGCTCCACCATCTCCACCAAGCCCACCATATCTATGCTCGGTATTTCCATCAGCAACACTCTTTCATGGAATAATCATGTCAGATTTATCGCAGAAGCTGCTTCACAAAAACTTGGATTTTCGTTTCGTGCGAAAAGCTACTTTACACCTCAACAGCTTCTCATGATCTACAAAGCGCAGATACGGCCTGTTCTAGAATACTGTCCCCACATATGGGTTTCAGCACCAAAACATACGCTGATGCTCTTAAATTCCATCCAGAGAAGAGCCATTCGCCTGGTGGGTGACGCCACACTCACTCACTCTTTGACATCATTGGAACACCTTAGACAGTTCGGCGACCTTTCACTTTGCTATCGATACTTCCACGGGAAATGTTCTTCGGAAATCTCTGCTATCATCCATTCACTAGCAATACCAATCAGACGAACTAGACAAGCCCAGTCAGCACATCCTCTCGTTGTCAACCACGAAAGATGTCGAACAGCACTTTATCAAAACTCCTTCATCCATAGAACGGCTAGGCTCTGGAATTCATTGCCTGTGGAAGTATTCCCAACAACATATAATCTCCAAAAGTTCATATTCCAATACCTACCTCCTGTCCCTATTCTCCCTAGGAACGCACGATGTTCTTTGAACATTATAAGGATTCCCTTTCGTGCGCTCCAAGCGATAAAAAAAAAGTTCGAATATGAATGTGTTTGTCGAAGTGAATATCTTATTTTCAAGAAAACACTTTCTACAAGGTTCTTGATAGTTCCATTTGAACAAAGTACGTGTTTGAATAATTAATTATATCATTAGAACATTGATAATATCATCACTAACAAACTATTCGTGATATAGATATATAGAAACATTATATACAATTTGATGGTTGAATTTCACAGCTTTCCAAATGAGTTGAAAATATTCAAGGTAATTCATTTGAAGCACTCAGTCACAGTCAATCCCTGAAAAAAAGGTATTTCTGCACCATACTGAAGCAGAAATCCGATTCTCCGGCAGAATATACTGAATGATCTTATGCATCTCTGACCATGATTCCAATATTTCTTTCATTTACATAGTGCAAAAATCGTTATCTTTTAAGGGTCAAGTTTATCACAAAATTTTGATATTATAATTATTTTCATCGCGTAAACTGTCACAGATAGCTATAAAGAATTATAAAAATAATCATTAGAATGATTAGGAATAATGATATCGAGATTCCGAATATGACATAATATAATGAGTGCTCAGTCTCAAACAACGAACTACCAATTCTATTTAGATAGATAGATATGGAGCATGTTGGATTATTCAAGCCCACGAATTCCGTAATGATATTCCATCCTGTTCTCCACATACCCCTTATGTTCCATCCACCGTGAGACCTCAGAGAGTTTTATTTCGTTTTATTGTTGAAAACAGCAGATTCATTCCCACAAAATCACCAAATGTCAGACAATTCAATACAAACATTGTTTTGACAAAGTGACACTATGACTATCGATTGAATTTCTCTCTCAGAGATCTAATGATGAAATTGAGGGCGCCGTGAATTTCTGGGAAATATCTTCGTAATATAATGGAAGATGAGAATATATCTATTCCGAATGTCCACCAAATATTCCTAGAATATATATGTCTCTGGAACATCCAAAGAATATTCAAATGTTGATATTTCAGTGATATTCCGCCGAAGGAATAGAAGCAGGAATATTGGAAGGTGAATATTCACAGAATATCCCAGTTGATTGTTCAGGAAATATTCAGTTACGAACGGTATAGTATAAACAGCAATCACTGTTTCATAGATGAGAGTATCGAACATTCATAATATAATCTGTAGTATAAAAGTCTGTCGTCTATCGTATTCCAAATTCAAAGTGAGGTGAAAAGTTACCATCAGGGATCAAAAACACAAAGTTACCTCCACAATTTAAATAGGGATCAAATTACTCAATCAGATCGTCGTACATGTTTCGAACCCCTATAGGCTAATATTCATAACAATACTCTTCACTAGTGGTTGAGGTATTGCCCTGACAATCTGAAAGTCACGAGTTCGGCACCATCTTAGGTCACCTTTTCTTATTCATGAATGAAATATATTTATTGGAATATTCCAGGAATACTATCTCAATTATAGTCCTGTATTATTCCGGGAATATTCCGGATGTTATCTGAATATTTATAAAATATTATAGGTACATGCATTCTGAATTTATAGGGAATATTCCTTGTGGAATATTCTGAAAATATATATATATATATTCTTCCCCATCAGCGCATTCAGGGAATATTTCATAAAAGGTAGGTATATATATATATACCTGAAATGTTTATAATTGAACCCAATATCCAAAAAGACTGGATTCCTACCCTCGCTCCGCTCGGCTATAACTATCTGCAGCGGCAGTCAGTCTACTACTTTGCTGCCTAGTAAACTAAAGAACTATTGTTTTTCAAGTATTGTTGCAAACAATTTTGAACTTTGCCTATAACAGTCTTTGAACGTGAGTAACATTTAGTCATTATTATCTGAACATTCAGTTGAACACCAGCAAGAAGATATACCATTGAAATTTCATTCACTTTTTTTTTTAACAACCATACAACAGAAAGAAGACATTACAACGATATTGAAACGATCCCATATATTTCTACGAATGATTGATTTTATTTTTTCAAATATATTTATATTGATGCAGTTGGATTACATTTCGAACAACTGTTGTATAATTATTATGATTTATTCTTGATATCAGCCGATTACCAACTTATCATTGTTTGATGTGATTGGGAATTGTAATTGGAAAATGCTCTCATGGAAAATAGTTGATACATATTAATGATGTGATTATCACTAATACATCAATGATGTGAGTTTCAAACGAATTTTTAGTATCTGTTATCAATCAAGGAGTTGGATCAAATTATAATTGATTTTGAGATGAAGAATCAGGGCTATAATGACTAGATAAACGTTGTTTGCAAAAACACGAGAATGACAAAAGACGGTAAGGTGAAAGAATGAGGATAATAGTCCATCACTTTGAATTAACCAGTTGCGCTTCAATAGAATATTCAGGAAGGTTCAATATGAGATTACTCGAAAAAATAAAACTCAAACTATAACTTATACAAGGTGCTAGTGAATGGGTACGATAAAACTCAAGGGATGACTCCTTGTGATATTTCAGGAAATAAAGTTCATATAATCATGTGTCTCAACCTGTTTCGTTTAGGAGATACATCAGAATAATAATATTTCCAAGAAAAATCTCACTTTCATTCATTACTCAAATGCCTGTTTATGAATTTCAATGATTGAACAAAAGAAATAACAGCCTCCTCATGATCCGTGTTACATCGTTACCACCGATCGGTGGTAACGGTTACATTCGTATCTCGCTCAGTTTTTGAGGAAGCAATAAAAATTCGATTTAACTGCAAAATCCAGATGTAGGTGCTCTCAAGACACCAATTGAGGTCACTGAATAACTTCAAGAAAAATTATTTAAAGATTTTTGTACCTTGTCAGTCTCCAACCATACTGAATTTTATAGAGATGAAAGTGCATGCAGAGGAATTATGAATAAAAACAATTAATACCTCAAACTTCAACATCCTATATCTCAAATACGAAAGAAAAGGACACATGTTTAAACGAACTTCATTTCCTGAAATATCACAAAAAATCACTCACACTTATTCACTTGTATATTACAAATTCCGAATCGATAGTCCTCTTGTTCCAATAGATTCAGAATAAAAAATTCGAACAGACTTCAATGCCTCATGAAAGTTCCATCGAGATAAAACAAAAAATATGTATAAATAATCGTCAATTCATTGTATGACAAGTCACTTTTGAGAGACGCTGTATACCCAGAAAGATTCGAATGAATCTGTTCACATATTCTGGTACTTACACGTTGCAAACTGTGCATGTTGTATAATGATCGACTGAACAATCAACTTTGTGAAAATTAAAAATGTTTCAATCAAGATAACACGCGTTATTTTTGAAGATAATTCTATCATTGTGATAAACTTCAGTGGCGTGACTACTTATAGTCCAAGAGGTCCCAAATAATCAATATCCCAGACAGCACTGGATATTCATAGAATATTCTCTGAATATGCTAAAAAGGAGGAGTATATTCCGAATATTCATCGATTATTCCTTGAATATATGTAAACATGCCTCTGGAACATCTAAAAGGAATATTCCAAAGTGAATAGTCGGACATGTTCAGGGAATATTCAGGTATGAATCTTCCAGGAATATTCCCAACTGAATATTCCCTATTGTATATTCATGAAATATACCCAACTGAATATTCTGTGCGGTATATTCATGAAATATACCCAACTGAATACTCTGTGCGGTATATTCATGAAATATTCTCAACTGAATATTTTGTGGTGTATATTCATGAAATATTCCATGAATATTCCTATGTTTCTCAACACATAAATACCATTTATTATTTCAGAGATGTGAGAATCGAACATCAATTAGATGTAAGGGGATTTTGAAACAAAAAGTGTTCATGATCCGATTTCGAACAATGCTCTCACAAGAACTTGATATGTATAACATTATTCAATTCGATTACTGGCCTAGTGGTCAAGGCGTTGCTCTGATAGTCTTGAGGTCACGAGTTCGATCCCTACTTGGGTCACTTTCTTTAATTTTAGAATATGTTTATTGGAATATTCCAGGAACATTCAACATAGAATATTCTTTTGGGTATATTCTATGATTATCTGAGGAATTCCCATTCGCATATTTAGAGAATATTCCACAGATATTCCGGAATATTCCAGATTATTTCTAGAATATTCCAATATTCCGAAATGAATATGATAGGGAGATTCATGGAATATCTGGTGCTGTCTGGGATCATTTACCTATTCAGTCTGGAGTTCTAATAGTGGAGGGTGTTGAGTAAAGCAAACGAAACACTACCAGACAATACAAATTTGAACAACTACCGCGGTCAAGATAATTATTATAGTCGACGGAGAACTGTTGATGTTCTATAATTTCCTAGTAGCCCAGTCACCTTAGAAAAAATAGCGGGAATCGGAGCCAAAGTTTTGAAAATTGGTGTACGTGTTCCTTTTAGCATTACATCTTACCAAAAAAAAGTCACCACTCATACCTGTAGAGCTTGCGCCGCCATCTTGGAAAATAGGTGCAATATTTCAGTTTTTCACGTATATCTCGGTAACTGACGACTTTATCGCGATAAAGATGGGAAGGTAAAAGGAAGCTAACAAAATTTATCGTAAAAAAGTATTCAATGATTATTTCCGAAATATGCACGGTTTTGGACTTATGTCGCCACAACGATTTGGCAAAATATAAAATTCTACTGCAAACCGACTGGACAAACTATAATTTAGTTGTATACGCTCATGGTGACCAGTAGAAAAGCTGCTAGATCTCATAAACAAGAGTTTCAGGATGGACAGAGTTGCCCCAATTGTCAGCAGGAGCAAGACAGTACTGTTTCGACCCACCAGGTCTCATCAGCCGCTCTCGTTCTGCTGACAACTGGGACAACTTTACGCTTCGGGTATATCACCCATTTCGAAGATGCAGGGTATAACATAGAGAATAAGGCATGTATTCTTCGTTATTTGAAAATACAACCATCGGGTCGGGTTCGTCCAAAACATCGTATTCATTACTTAGAAGAGATGAAACGGAAAAATCGAACTTCACCTCGGATTACAGCGTTTCGGCGTTGTCCTGACAGTATTGTGCGTTGAGGCACGATGCTCCAAGGCAATATTCGCAACTAATCGAGAATTTAAGACCCGCTTTTCGGCATTCGCAGGCTGCCGTGCATCTTTTCTTGCAATCGCTAGAAATCATCTGGAGCAAAGAATCTGGAGCAGCAGGTAGGGTAGTTAGCACAGGAACCAGCCCAACAGCACTCCTCTCTCACCCCCAAAACTCAGGACATTTTTGATTACCCAACGACTCTTGTACCTGATGATTGACTCTGAAGGAGTGCTGCCTCAAAGCTGCTTCCGTCGGTGGCAGAGAAGCCAGATCTACTTTTTTTTCAGCAGATTTGGCTAACAGATTGTACCGTAGCTTCTTCAATGATGTTTTCGTTTTATGGGCATCATACAGAGCTAGAAAGAATCTTTCACATGTAGTAGATACTTCTTCACTCTTAGCTCCCGGGTTGTTGAAAGCCTTCGCAACTTCTCGTAATGATGGTCGGTCCTTCATGAATTTGAAGCATTTCAACTTTCCTTTTTTAATCTTTGGAAGAAGTCCATGGTAACTCAAAGTGGAGTGATGTAGTTCATAGATGAAAACCCAAAGTCATTTCCACAACTTTTAAAAGTTGTGGAGATGACTTTGGGTTTTCATCTGTTTCATTTTTTAAATAAACATGATGTGGTATCACAACCCCCAAAGGTATGTAAGAGAAGGATAGTTCTCTGTTATTTAATATTGGTTTGTAGTTCGCGGGAACAGTATTTCTTTTTGCCTTTATACATTGCCTTTTTTTGGTTTCACAAAATAAATGTTGCGTTCTGCTGGAGCCAAAGCTATGAGTAGAATAAGTAGTTCTACATTTTATCCAACAACGGTGACTTGGGTAGAGGAAGACATTTCACTAGCTGTCTGTATTGTTAGCGAATCCGCATCGTCCACTGCTTGCTTTGTGATGAACCCTTCATTTTTTCTGATAATATAGCAATCAATCGCTTCTTGTTCTTCGGGTTAGCTAGTAATTTTTCTTGTGCGACAGTGACCGACATGTTTTCATCAAACAAAACATAATATGTCTGCACATGTATTCTTAAGAGCACGTCTATGCTGTTCAGCCTTTTTAGTTCCATCAGCATCATCAGAGTACCCGTCGAAAACAAGCACCGAATTAGAGCCGTAGTGTTTCCTGACGTAGGCAATGTAACTGGAGCAGATTGAAAGGAACGTTTGATTTTACTACCAAATCATACGATGTAAAAGAAAAAAAAACCATTAATATGTGGCACTTTATCAAGACTCCTCCATCCATCATAGAACGGATAGGCTCTGGAATTCATTGCCTGTGGAAGTATTCCCAACAACATATAATCTCCAAGAGTTCAAAACAATTCTAATACCTACCTCCTGTCCCTATCCTCCCTAGGAACGCGCGATGTTCTTTGAACATTATAGGGATACCCTTTCGTGCGCTCCAAGCAATAAAAAAAACACTGGTATTCTGTAATGGCCGATCGCTGTTTTGTGTTGCGAGGATCCTTGAATATGGCGCCGACTCTCTGACAGTTACTTGTAGTTGGAATATATGTATATCAGAATAATTATGAGTAAGTTTCTCAAATATCGCATATTGTTTCACGATTTACTGATAAACCATGCACTAAACGAGTATTTATGTAGAGAACTTTTTTTTTTTAAATTCAATTTCCTTCATTTTACTTCAGCATATTGATATCGATAAAGTTAACAGATACTGAGATATAACCGAATAACTGAAAAAGTGCACACATTTTTCAAGATGGCGGAGTTAGCTCTACAGGTACAGGTGGTGACTTTTTTTTGGTTGAATGTCATGCCAAAGGGAACATGTACACCAATTTTCAAAACTTTGGGTTCGATTCCCGCTATTCGTCAAATTTGATACTAAGGTGATTGGGCTATACACTGAGAGAAACTGGATATTAAAAATATCTACCAGCTCTGATTGTAATAACCTTTATAAGGAAATCTCCTATTCCTGATCATTTTATTATTACAACAGTATTCTCTCCATTCTGTAATTATAAAAATCGATTTTTTAAATCATTTGTAATACCCTTGAATGGACATTTGCTACCATCATAACGCAGGTGTGTTATGACATTATGAGAATTTTATAAATTCCAGTCTATTCAGATTTTTTATTGACATAGCTCGTTTTGTGAATTATGCTCATTGGCGAATTCAGATAATGTTTGTCCCAATAATCATAGCTGTTTGGGTTTCTAGCATTGTACGTTGACGAATAACTCTAGCAATTCACATGTATGACGGTTATTAGGCAATCATTCGACAATCGTAATTCGGCTCAGTTCGCTCTAGTGTTTCATTAGTATTGTGGCTGACAAAGATACAGATCGCGTTCATTTCTCTGTTCTCGGTCATGGGTGCCCGTGTTCAATTATTGTTCAATGGTTTCGATCGTCCGAATCGAAAGAGCCGTGTCTTGTTGGTGAATGTCTGTGATGTAGCAAAGTTTTGTTTTAATGCTGGCTGTGAACCGATCTGTGGAATACACCGTGCATTGCATTATTGCAATGAAAAAAGTATTCTCCATACCCACTTTTCAAGGCCTAAAATTGGTTTATTTCAAAAACAAAATGATCGATGAGATTCTGAATCAAAATATCTGGGTTTCTGTGAGGGAAGTTTTTCTGACAATTCTCATCATAACTCCGAAGGAAGGGTAAATATAAGTATTCAACTTCTCATCTCTTAATAAATTCGTCAGTAATGCATATAGATGATGTTTCTCCGAACAAATCAATGAGTAATGTCAAAAAACTTCCACAGATACCCCAATATTTCAATTCAGAGACTAAACGTATTTTTTTGTTTTTTTTGAAAACAATAACTTTGGATCATGAAGAGTGATAGTGTGGATAGGATATTTATTTTCATTGCAGTAATTCGAAGCACGGTTTCATAATGCATACCATCGAATAATGTTGATAACCTTATTACCACTGTTTGATGAATATACTAGAGTAGAAAAATATTGGGATAACTTTTGAATCTGAGCTACATTACAATAGCATGTCGAAATGTCGGGTTTCATGCAGATATCAGATAACTATAATAAAATGAGACGAATTACTGCGTTACCTCAAGATGGTTGTGCCAGTAATAAAAACATGCTGTTTTATGTCGATAGTCTAATAACCACTGTAGAGTGGAGAGTTACTGCAACATTTTATGGGAA